AGGGAGAGGGCCAATCCCTTAAGTAGGACTGGGATCAGAGTTCAAGCAAGAGCCCCTCCATTCCTGCCCCCTCCCCCTACATGCTGCAGCCACTTCTCTTCACCCCCGGGATAGCAGCCCGAAGTCCAAGAATGGGCCTGGGATTAGGGGCTGGCCATTAACCATCACCCAAGACAGATATCTCAGTTCATCTTTCAGACCAGGAAACCAAGACTTAGAAACACCAGATGGCTCAGGCAGGATTTCCCAAACCCCCTGGTCTAGAACCAAAAGTCTAGCAAAACATGTAATATATAATAATAGAATTATAGTTACTGTATGTAACTTGTTTACTGTGTGTGTGAGAGAAAGAGAGACAGAGAGAGAGAGAGTGTGTTATGGGGCTTGAACTCAGGGCCTGGGCACTGTCCCCGAACTTTTCTGATCAAGACTAGTGCTCTACCATTTTAAACCACAGCACCACTTCTGGTTTTCTGGTGTTTAACTATAGATAAAGAGCTTCACAGATTTTCCTGCCCAGGCTGGCTTCAAATTGTGATACTCAGATCTCAGCCTCTTGAGTAGCTAGGATTACAGGCGTGAGCCACCACCACCTGGCTTATTTACTTTTGTGCTAGTCCTGGGGCTTGAACTCAGGGCTTGGGTGCTCTCAGCTTTTGTGTTCAAGGCTAGTGCTATACCACTTGAACTATTTTTGGTGCTCAATTGGAGATAAGAGTCTCATGGAATTGCCTGCACAGGCTGGCTTTGAACCAAGATCCTCAGATCTCAGCCTCCTGAATAGCTAGGATTACAAGCATGAGCCACTGGCACCTGGCTATATATATATATATATATATATATATATATATATGTGTGTGTGTGTGTGTGTGTGTGATCACACACACCCCGCCCTTCTCCCCAAAAGTTGCCCTGAGTTCCCAGAGGTCACAAACACAGAACACTTAAGAGTGACCTGGGCAAGTTGAACCCCAAGCAGAGTCCCAATCAATTGCTGTAGGAGTTGATGAACTCCTAAGCCACCAGTGGGAGCTGACAGCTTGGCTCCTGGTTCCCAAGTCCCGGTCTTTGTCGCCAAATGAGGAGGTTCATACAGCGCTCCAGGGACCCCAAAACTCTGCCTCTCACCCTCAGGTGACCCCAGCCTCCTCCGGCCCTGCTTTCCACCTGCATCTATGAAGTCCCTACTGTGTGCACTGTGCCCCAGCGGTCCAGACGGGGGGGGGGGGGGGGGGGGTGAGAGGGGTTCGTGGGGCTGTATCTTAGTTTTCCCAGGAAGGCCCTTGGAATTTGGCAGCAAGGCCTTACCCAAGACCTTGAGACCCTTGACCCCCGTCCATCTCCTGGCCCTCCTCTGGCCTGGATTCTCTCCCTGGAAGGAAGAATGACGCCCAGCTCACAATCTCGAGGCCCGGAAGGGAAACCCAACTTTGTAAGGGTCACCCAGCAAAATCAGCAGTCGTGTTCTGCCTCAGTCTACCTAAGCTTCTTCCAGCACTAAAAAGTTGATTCTGGAACACTGATCCCTTAGCAGGAACAGGGACACTGGCTTCCCCGCCCCCCCCCAACTTCTCCGGGTCCCACAAACCCACCCCACCCACACTTCACCCCCAAATGCCAACAAACTCAGGCTGGGCCACACTTCACCCCCCCCAGGAGCCCGCCCTCGGCACCCCTAACTGCCTCAGCTCCAGCTCTCCACGGGGGGGGGGGTCCACCCCGGCGCCCTGCCCAGGCCTCCATGGCCCCCGGGTCCCGACCCTCCCCGGACCACTCACCCCGTCCAGTCGGGCGCAGGACCAGCCCCAGCCCCCCCCCCCGCGGGCGTCGGCCTAGGGGGAGGAAGTGCTCGCCCAACTCCGCCAAAGACCTCCATCCCCCTCTCTGCGCCCGCGGGGCGCACCGGGAACGCACACCACGACCCCCGTCCGGGGGCCCGGGGGGCCCTCGCCCGGGACCCGGCCCTGCGCTCCCCCCAGCCTCTGCCACTGCGGGCCACGACCTTGGAGAGACCTGGCCCCCCGTCCCCACCGCGCTGCTTTCCGGGGGCCCGGGGGGAGGCGGACGGGGGGCCTGCCCCTCGGCGCGCGCCCCAGGTTTACTTTGGGGCGCGCCGGGAGCCCGAGCCCGCGCCGCGTCCTTCCACCGCCCCGCCGCGAGTCACGCCACCACGCGCCGCGCCGCTGCAGTCCGGTGCGGCGCCACCATCCCCCCGCGCGGGGAACCCCGACCCCCGCCCGGAGCCGCCGCGGCCCACGCTGGCGCGTGCCCACCTACCCGCTCCACATCCCGGCGCCTCCGGGCGTCCGTTCTCCCCACGCCGCGTCCCACGTCTCGGCCAACTCCACCCCGGGCCCGCAGCGGCCCCGCCGCCCACCAGTCCCGCCTGCAGCCTGGCTGTCCGTCCGTCCGTCCGTCCCTCGGTCTGTCTGGCCCGGGATCCCCAGCCCCGCCCCGCCCCGCCCCGCCGCTACCCCAGGCGGGTCACGTGGCCAGGGGGCGGGCCCCAGGACACGTGCCCGGCCCCGCCCCTCTGCGGAGCCCACCCGCCGCCCCGCCCGGGACCCGACCGCGCCCGCCCGGGAGGGGGACCCCTCGCCCCGCCCCCGTCCCGCAGCCCCAGCGGCTCCGCGGTGCCCTCGGGTCGCGCTCCGCCCGGGGCCAGCGCTGCCCCAGAGCCCTCGAGCCCCCCCCCAACACCCATTGTCTCACTCAGGGCCCCCCTCGTCCCTGTCCCTGGCTGGAAGGGGCAGGCCCCAAAGCAACTTTTCTCAGTCTCTGAGCGTTTCAAGAGTCTGTCCTCCTGGCCCTGAATTCAGCCTGCCCATCCCTGCCTTCCACCATCCACCCTCTGTCTCAGGCCCTCCCCGCCCCCCCAAACTGGAGACCCCCCCACACACGGGTGACCCCGCCCAGAGTCCCTTTGCCACCCCCGCCCATCATCCTGGGTCTGACCACCGATCTCTTCTACCAATCCAATCAAAGCACAACCATCTCTCTTCTCTCTCTTCTCAGCTGCCAGGGTAGCGCAGAACAACCTTCAGGAACACCCCTCACCCATCCACTCCACTAAACTTCCAACTCTGATCACAGTCTAAGGATTAAAGGCCCAGATCTCCCTGGGGCTCCAATATGGCTTTTCTTCTGTCCTGTGTGTGTTTGATAGGCTGGTCCTGGGGCTTGAACTCAGGGCCTGGGCACTGTCCCTAGCTTTTTGTCTCAGCCACAGTTCCACTCTGGCTTTTTGGTGGCTAATGGAGATAGGTGGCTGACAGATTTTCCTGCTCAGGCTGGCTTTCAAACTGAGATTACAAGGCTCTTGAGCAGCTAGGATTATAGGCATGAGCCACCAGCTTCAGGGGGTCTGCTACGTTGCCCAGGCTGGTCTTCAATTTCTTGACTCAAGAGCTCCTGCCTCTTCAGCCTCCTGAGAAGCTGGGACTCACACAGGCACGTCCCAGTTTATTGGGCCCCAATATGGTGGGGGACATACTGCCTTCTCAGGAGCTCTACTTCCATTACCTCCACTTGTCTAGGGTTTGCTTTTTGTTGTTGGTCATGGGGCTTGAACTCTGGGCCTGGGCGCTGTCCCTGAGCTCTTCAGCTCAAGGCTCGTGCTCTACCACTTGAGCCTCAGTGCCACTTCTGGTTTTCTGGTGGTTTATTGGAGATAAGAGTCTCATGGACTTTAGTGCCCAGACTGGCTTTGAACCATGATCCTCAGATCTCAGCCTCCTGAGTAGCTAAGATTACACTGGTGCCTGGCTTGGGGTTTGCTTTTACTAAGTAATAGTGACTTGGTTCAAACTAGAAAAGGTCATGTCTTTCCCAAGTGGACAGAGCTGACACCAGGTACAGGACCTGGGGAGCGGAGGCCAGGGTTTACAATCTAGACAGCCTTTGTGGCCACCGGTCCAGCTTTCCAAATGCATTCAGCCTGGGCCTCAGTAACTGTTTTCTAGACTTAGGGCTTGGAGGGGTGTTTGTTCTTCTGTCCCTGCCTGGATTTCACTCAAATCAGATGTCAACATATGTTTGTTGACTTGAATCTACCCCCAGCTAAGCCTTGAAAAACTCCAGCCTTCCTGTCTTTTCTTCTCTCCAGGTGGTGAGGATGATAATAAGGGAAAGCTTGCTCTCCAAGTCTTTTTGAAAACCTGAGCAAAGATAAACTGTGGCAGGTAGACTAGAGGGGGATGAAGGGTAGACGGGGTGTCTTCCCAGGGCCTGCAGCCCCCCTGAGGAAGAATGTTGATCCTGGAAGGGAGCAGGCTGGCTGGAGAGGCCCTTGAGGAAAGCCTCAGGGGACGTGTGGGTCGCCACTGGGCAAACACTGACATCTGATTACTAACCAAAAATATCCAGTCATCCATGCATCCAGCTACTATGGCCTCCCTCCCCCACACGCCACACACTTTCCTGCCATTGTCACCCCATCCATGGCCAATCAATGGGCTCAGAGAAGTTAAGGAACCTGCCTGGTGTCACACAGCCAGGTTGAGTCTCCTTTAATGTTTGTCCGAAAGACAACCTAGCAGCCAGCTGCTTTTTTTTTTTTTTTTTTTGTCCAGTCCTGGGGCTTGAACTCAGGGCTTGGGCTCTGTCCCTGTGAGCTCTTTCACTCAAGGCTAGCACTCTAACACTTTGAGCCACAGCACCACTTCCGACTCTTTAGGGGCAGTTTGTTGGAGATAAAAGTCTCACAGACTTTCCTACCCAGGCTGGCTTTGAACTGTGATCCTCAGATCCTAGCTATTCAGCCTCCTGAATGGCTCCAAACTGCAGTTCCCATTCAGTGTAACTATGGAGTGGGATGAGATGATCAGGGGTACCCCTCTTTTGGCGGTGACCCTGCAAGGAGGAGCCTGAACTTCCTCCCCAGTTCCATCTAGCAAGCTGTCCAGAACCCTTCTTCTATCGCTTCTCGGCCTTTTGGCTAAGATCAAGTGCAGAACCCTTCTTCTGCCCCTCTCACAGAGAAATGACAGATCCCAGCTCACCTGCCTGTAGTCCAGGGCTCCTCTCCCAAGTTGCTCTCCTGTACAGGGCCTGACGGGGCATAACGGACAGCCCCCGAGCGCATGGCCAGGTACACGGGGCATGTCCCTCTGGCAGGGCACTGGCGGAGCTCCTCAGCGGCATCCATGCCTGGGAGGGGGCTACTCAGGAGAGTTCTAGAGATGGTTGGGAGGGCAGATGGCAGAGGCCTCTCCCTTACCAGGCTGAGCCTCCCACTAACCTTTGCAATCTCACCAGACCAGCTGCTTGGGAGGGTGGGGCCTCACAGCTGGGCCCCTATCTCCTTAAGTCATAATTATTAACTCTTAGGGCCCCAGCTCCAGCCTCTTTCTTGGGCTCTGGGCCTAGGGCCAGAGAAGGTAAAACACCTAGGGAGGAAGTCTTCCCTTTGCACCTAAGGCACCAGACTTCAGCCAGGCCCAGCAAGGGGCTGTCTGTCCCCTAGCCACCCCTGCGGGCAAGCTGTACAGAGCCTGTGTCACCACTGATGGCTGCATGGTCTCTCCAGGCCTCAGTGTCCCCTTGCAACTTCCACATGAGCGCCTGTGCCTAAATCCCATCTCCCTTCCGCTCTCTCTTGGTTATTTATCATTGGTGCTGGTACTGGGGCGTAAACTCAAGGCCTAGGCACTGTTCCTGAGCTTTTCTTTTCTCAAGGCTAGTACTCTACCACTCCAGCCACAGTTCCACTTCTGACTTTTTGTTGGTTAATTTTTTGGAGATAAGAGTCTTATGGGGCTAGGAAGGTGGCTCAGTGGTAAAGCGCTTGCCTTGCATGCATGAGGCCTGGCGTTCGATCCCTCAGCACCACATAAGCAAAAAGAAAAAAGCCGGACGTGGCGCTGTGGCTCAAGTGGTAGAGCACTAGCCTTGAGCTAAAGAGCTGAGGGACAGCGCCCAGGCCCAGAGTTTAGGCTCCATGACCGGATCCTCCCTCTCCCCCCCCAAAAAAAAGAGTCTTATGAACTTTCCTGTCCAGATGAGCGTTGAACTGTGATCCTCAGTGCTCAGCCTCCTGAGCAGCTAGGATTACAGGTGTGGGCCACCTGTGCCCAGTTCAAACCACCCTTTTTCTCTACACAGGATATGCAAATACTCCCCTATTTTTCTTTCTTTGTTCTTTCCTTTTCTGTTTCCCTTCCCCTCTCTCCCTCCTTCCCTCCCTCCCTCCCTTTCTTCCCTCTCTCCTTTCCTTCCTTCTTGGTACTAGAGCTTGAACTCAGGGCCCAGACACTGTCCACTTGAGCCACACAGCTCTACTTCTGTCTGTTTGGTGGTTAATTGGGAATAAGAGTCTCACTCTGAACCTCAATCCTCAGATCTCAGCCTCCTGAGTAGGATTACAAGCACCTGGCTAAAAAGACGTTTCCCCTCTCCCCCCGCCCCCTCCAGGCCTTGGCTGTGTGACCTTGGTAAGTGACTTAACCTCTCTGGGAGGTTAAATGAACACAGTTCTCTAGGTGGCTGTGAAGATGGATGGATCACCTGTGCAGAGTGTCTACCCCAGTGTAAGTGGAAAGAAAGCTCCCCTTCCCCTCCTGTGGCCATGCTCCCCTCCCCTCCTGTCATCCCTCTGGGGAGCAGCACCAAGTCTCCACCAGTGCCTGACCCCACCCAGTCGGCAGATAACAGTATCTCTTGCTTCCTTACTTTGCTTTGGCCTGCAAAATCCTCTCAACCTAATGTAAACCAGATGCTGGCCTTCTTTTCCTGGCCGAGAATTTTCCATAGCCTGCTCCCACCCCTTTCCTGTTTTTGCTCCCCGCTCACCCCCTGCTAAATTCTCCCGCGCCCCCATCTTCCTCTCGCAGGGCAACCTTGACCCCACCTGGAAACTATTAGGGGAAAACAGGATGTGTGGCAGAGGGAGAGCATCTCCTGATTCCCCCCAGCCACCCCCCCAAAATGGCAGGACCACCAGGGGCCTGGCTGGGGGCAGTTGCTGATCTCTCCCTGCTGGGGAAACTGAGTCAGAGTTGCTACTCTCTGGAGATTTCAACTCCGCTCACACTGGACGCCGACCATGTGGACCCTGGGCTGGGACTTTAGGAAAAACTGGCTCCTCCTCTCATCTGGCAGATGAGGAAACTGAGGTTGCAGCTTCACCCAGGGTCACTGAAGAATGGGGTCCCGGGAGGCAGCTAGGTCAGGAGTGGCTCAGGGTCCCTCTGGGGCCTGCCATCTCCCAGTCACCCACTCATTCCTGCCCTCCCCAACCCCCCCTCCTGTGGTGGAGTCCAGCCGGATCAGGAGGGGAGGGGAAGAGCTGCCCTCACCCCGGCCAGCCTGCCTGCCCACCTCTCTGACACCTCCCAGCCCCGGCAGCTGTGCACATCTGGCTGGGTCACTCCTCGGGCTCTTCTCTGGCACGGACTGGTGCTTTGACGGAGGCCTGAGCTGTGTGCATGGCTGGATACACACGCATGCATGCCTGTCTTCTTCCTGTCTGCCTGTCTGTCCTCTCAGACAGGGAACCCACTCTGCCAGGCTTGGCCCTCCACTGGAGGACTTCTCCCTCGTTTTCATTAAAACAACAGCCCCAGCTCCGGACAGCCGCCTCTGGCTGCCCCTCCCTCCTCCAGCTGTGCAGAGTTTGGACAACTGGCTGGAATGTTTTGCAACCAGAATTCTCCCTGGATCCCAGCGCTCTCGGATTCCAGCAGGGAGGAGCGAGCCCGGGAAGGATGGCTGGCTCTAGGGAGAGGAATGAGACTCCAGAGGTCAAACATGGGCCTCGAGACCATCCAGGTGCCCCCAACCCACACCAAGACGACCAACCACCTGCTTGCCTCTGCACGAGGGGGGAGGGGGGACTGGGCCAGACTTCGGGGAGGGGGAAGGGGAGGGAAGGAGGGCAGGACGGAAGGAAGAGACAGCCAAAGGGTGTCAGAGGTTTAGTCTGGCCAATGTGGAGCAGTCAAGCCTGAGGGACAATCCGGGCTCAGGGAGGGGCCAGCGCTTGGAGAATGCTAAGAATGCAATCTGTCCTGGCTGTCCCCTCCACACTCCCACTTTACAGATACAGATAATCAGGGTCCCCAGCACCTCTCTGCTGCATTTCCCCAGATGACACCCTGGTTGCAGACCTGGAACTGAAACCAGGCCTCCACCATGCTTGCTTTTCTCCCTGTCCAGGAAGGCTAGCCCCCCCCCCCCAGACCTGTCCCCTCCCCTCCCCTCCCCAGCCACTGAACGGTCAGCCTGATTCTTCCTCATGCAACACAAGCTAAATAACAGGTATGTGCTTACCCTAAGTTCATGAAAATGCACAACATGTGTGCATGCACACATACCCTCCCCCCCCCCACCACACACCACACACACACATAGTGTGTAGCTTCAGAGTGACATCAACCTCCTTGTGGACCAGAAGGCTCTTTCTTGTTCAATCTCCTGCTATGGGCTAGTTGCTCACACCTCCCTCTCCCCTCCTGCCACACACACACACACACTGCCTGGCTACAAAGATCCATCATACGGTCTATATTCAAGTACATGGATGTTAGTTTGAGCCTCAGTTTACTGAATTTAAAACGGCAAGGATGAGGTGCTACTGAGTCACATCTGTAACCCTAGCTGAAGATCTGAAGGTCACAGTTCAAAACCAGCCTGGTAAGGAAAGTGCATGAGACTCCTATGTCCAGTTAACCAGTGACAAACCAGAAATGGAGCTGTGGCTCAGGGTTAAAGTGCTAGGTTTGAGAGGAAAAGCTAAAAGAGTGCACGGCCCGCAGGGCGCCAGTGGTGTAGCTACTCAGGAGGCCGAGCTGTGAGGATTGTGGTTTGCAGCCAGACGAGCAGGAAAGTCAGTGAGACTTTTATCTCCAAATTAAATACAAAAAGCTGGAAGTGGAGCTGTGGCTCAAGTGGTAGAGTGCTAGCCTTCAGCACAAAAGCTCAGGGACAATGCCCAAGCTCTGAGTTCAAGCCCCAATATAGGCACATTTAAATAAAATAAAATTGGAAAGGATGCTCTTTATTTCATACTTGAGGGGTGCTGATGGCATAAGATGAAGGATTTCCTCTTTGGAGAAAATCTCATGAGAGACAAAAGAAGAGGAAAGGGAAGAGGGGGTTTAGAGTCCTGTGGGGGTGGGGCTAGGCTGGGTTGTCAGAGATGAAACCTGTCCAACATGACAGCTCAATCACTCACTGGAAGTGAGAGTCAGGCAGACAATCAGAGGAGAACACAGACACTGCCACCTGAAAGCTCTGAGCAACCCACAGGGCCCGGCTCCTGCCCAGATGACAGAGCTCATGGCCACCACTGCACAGCCATCGCCAGCACGGAAAAGGCTAAAAGGATTTGGCCAGTGGCAAACAAGCAGTGAGTGGAGATTCTAATACAGATAGATGTGTGTCTAACACCAAAGCTCATCTTTGCCCTTCTAGAAGGAAAGGTAATGTTTCTTTCTCTTTCTTTCCTTCTTTCTTTCCTTTTTCCTTCCTTCCTTCCTTCCTTCCTTCCTTCCTTCCTTCCTTCCTCCCTTCCTTCCTTCCTTCCTTTCCTTCTTTGTCAGTTGTGGGGCCTGAATTCTGGCCTGGGCACTGTCCCTCAGCTCTTCAGCTCAAGGCTAGGACTCTACCACTTGAGCCATAGCGCCACTTCCACCTTTTTCTTTTTGCTTATGTGGTGCTAAAGAATCGAACCCAGGGCCTCATGCATGCAAGGCAAGCACTCTACCACTGAGCCACCTTCCCAGTCCCCTTTCTTTCTTTCTTTTTTTTTTGGGGGGGGTCCGGTCGTGGGGCCTGGACTCTGGGCCTGGGTGCTGTCCCTCAGCTCTTCAGCTCAGCCACTTCCAGCTTTTTTCTTTTTGCTTATGTGGTGCTGAGGAATCGAACCCAGGGCCTCAGGCATGCAAGGCAAGCACTCTACCACTGAGCCACCTTCTTTCTTTCCTTTCTTTCTTCCTTTCTTTTCCTTCCTTCCTTCCTTCTTTTCTTCTAATATTGGGATTTGAACCCAGGGACTCTCACTCTTGCTTGGTTTTTTTGGCTTAAGGTTGGTGCTCTACCACTTGAACCACAGCTCTATCTGGTTGTTCTTTTTTTTCTGCTCAGGCTGGCTCTGAATGGCAGTCCTCAAATCTCAGCTTCCTCATTAGCTAGGATCACAGGCTTGAG